ACAACATAGCTCTCCAAAAATCCTTTTTTTTTTGAAGGCGGTGCCTCCTAGAACTTTAATGAATTTCTCAAAACCTCTTCAGGCATTTTTTCCAAGATTTGACTAAACATCTCTCATTATTCTCGTCTCACTGATGATGATATATAACACTGAGCTGCAGGTGGGCCTAAGAGGAAACGGAGGTCTATAAAACACTTATTTTATTGACTGAACTCAAACCGCTTACATTAAACTATTGAGTGCAAAGCTTTACGCTGCCACTTAGCTAAGGAGGACTACAAATTGCAGAGCACGGTTTGAATCGTGGGTAGTATCCTTAACAATTAATTTTCGGAGGGCATGGCTCTATCGTAGAAAAAGTGCCTCAAATAGAAAAGGTAATGTTCTAACTTAAGTAGTGGGAGACCTTACACCAGCAGTAGGGCATGGGGGTGTTTGATTTTTGGTTTCAAGCGAATCGATGGTTGACACTCACAACTTTCAAAGGACATTATTTTAGTTAAATGTGCTTAGTTCGAAGTTCGGTTCCTTTTTCATGTATGGAAGAGCCAACACAACATCTAAAGGCTTGGTCGGCCAAAAATTATCTATTCAAAGAAACATGCTCCATTCATTTCTGCGTGAGACATTTACATCGGAAGCAGTCCTGGGGCAACTAAACTCTTATTTTGTCAGAGGTATATCTTCAATGAAGAGCTAAAAGCAGGCTTTTGATTAGAACAATGTTCCAATTCAGGCAGTGAGAAATTAAGAGAGAGGCGGGTCGAAGGGTTGAGGTATGTACGATGCGGAAACATATTCTAAAGAGCCTGGTGTCGGCAAAATAAGCTATTTGTTTCAAAGGTCAGTGCCCCTGCTTATATGTAAATCAGGATTTAATCAGCACAGGGCATAGAGTTACAATTATTGTGCAGCAGGAATGAAGCACAATGCACTTGCCTTGAATATGCGGAACTGAATGCGCTAGATTTATCTGTTGTATACAAACCCTGCCGCAGTCTTGCAAGTTTAGGTAATAAATTTAGTCGACGGCAGGGTATGAGGAAGGTTGGTTTCACCAAAACCTTAATTTTTTTGGCTAATAACGCTACACTCAATACATGTTAGAAATTTATACCGGCGCTACTTACTTGCTTAGAGACTTAGATGGCCTGTCTTCACTAGTCGTGCAGGCCATAGTACTGTTTCCATCCGTTTATGTCTCTCACTGGCGTCATCCACGATGTTGGTATTGAAGTGCGGCGGCAACGTTCGCAGAGTCCAGGTCCATTACTCGTTACCAGCTGAGAATTCAGCTGGTTCATCCGTGCAACGAACACGTCAGCTTATTTGGTCGGTGGCCTCCCTCGAGGACATTTTGCTTCGCGAGGAATCCATTCCAGAGTTCTCAGTGACCATCTGGCGTCTGTCCTTCTCATTATATGACCAGCCCATCGATGCTTTGCCTTAAAGACGTATTCCGCTGGATCGCAAAGACGAGACATTGATCTCATATCTGAACTGCGAAGTCCAACGAGATGTTGAGTACGTCGGTTGTACTTCAGAAGACGTCGTTCCAGGGCTCTGTGGGTTGTTCGGAGAGCCTTTGACGTAGCCACAGTGTCAGGCCACGTCTCTGCTGCGTAGCAAAGCAGGGGGAACAGTTGAATCGAACAAGTGGGCTTGGAGCTCTGGGTCCGACAGTTGGACTGTGGCTTCCTTCAGGAACCCGAAGGCGAGCTGTTAGCCTCCTGTCTGTTCCTTCTTTGAGATTGTTCTCCATGTTCATCGAGCGCCCGAGGTATACGTAAGAAGCCGTCTCCGCGTTTAGAGAGCCTTCTAATTCCATTTCCTGATCCTCCCAGAAAGCGTTCTTCAAGAACTGCTCTGCAACGGTACAGCTTTTCCATCGTCGAACCCCATTCGAAATTGGTTTGCTAAGGGGACGATGGAAAAGCTGTACCGTTCTTCATGAACAGAGTCTTCTTCCGGTTGATTCGCAGTCTTATCCGCTTCCTTACTTTTTAGTTCCCTCAACATCATCTCCACTTCAATGATATCAAGAAGAGAACAATTTCGCCCGCAAAACAAAGGTTCGAGAGGAATCTCCCATCAACTCGTATTCCTCTCTCGTTCAATTCAGGGATTTCATCACCCACTGCATCGCGGCGATAAACAGCTTTGGATACGGTGTCGCCTTGTCGAACCCCATTCGAGATTGGTATGCTAAGGGGACGATGGAAAAGCTGTGCCGTTGCAGAGCAGTTCCTTTGGGGAAAATGTCTTCACGTAAGATGGTGACCCTCCACCACTTGGTCGACGAGAGCTGACAGTATGGCATCAGTCTCGACGCTGTCAAACGCTTCCATAGTCAACGAAGGTTAGGACGAGAGGTAGGAGGTACTCTTGGCAAACCTCGATAATCCTCGAAACTGTCTGGATTTGATCCACGCAGCTGAATCCCTGGCGTCCAGCTTGTTCTACAGAGGGCTTCATCCAGTATCCTTGATATGCGAGCGAGAATAATCCTCGTAAAGAGCTCGTAAAGCACACTAAGCAGGCACATTGGACGGTAGTTCCGAAGATCCTCCCTATCACCCTTCTTACGAAGAGGGATTATTCGGGAGGTTCTCCACTGGTCGGGGACCCTTTCCTTTGGACGGTAGGACAGATGTTTCACAAGAATCTCGTGGGTGATGTTCTCCAGCTCGTAAGAGTCGGCCGAAACATGGTCCGGTCCTGTAGCCATGCTGCTACACCGGCGCTAGGGCACGAATTTGACTTGGGGTGAAGTGATGGCGACACACATTGGTATGAGCGGCCGAAGAAAAGAGTGGGAGCGAAGTGGAACGCTTCATATTTATTCAGTTTTTTGTAGAGTATATGGCTGCATGTTTCGGGGGTGTAAGATTTGTTACAGCGGCAATATGCGACATGGGTAGCCATGTTGTCTTAATAACAAAACTAAATCACAAAACTCATCACAAGTTTTCATTCCATTTACTGAACTGTTCCATCCTCTTAGCATAAAATTTACATTTTTCATCTGTGATTTCACTGAACATCTCCTGCATGAGTTGATGTCTCCAGACTCCTCGGGTGGTAGTAATGCCCCCAAATTTGTCACAACAAGAACGAGCCATACTCATGACAGCTCCCAACATGGCTTGAGCTAATTACG